GAGAGGGAGAGAGAGAAGGGGGAGGAGGGAGAGAGGGAGAGAGAGAAGGGGGAGGAGGGAGAGAAGGACATAGATATGGCGGAGAGAGGAGGAAGAGAAAGCGTTCAAAGGGAACAAGGAGGAGAGCGAGAGGAAGGGATGGTGGTAGAGAAAGAGAGAGGAGGGAGAAAAAGAAGGAGAGAAAAAGCGTGGAACGAGAGAGTAGGAGGCGAGATTGGTGGGGGACGGAGAGATAGAGAAATGGGGAGAAAAGTGGAGGGGATAGATAGTAAGAGAGGGGAGGAGGGGGAGAAAGCGGGAGATTGCGGCGAGAAGAAGACAAATACCGAGAGCGGGTGCAGGATGGGAAGAGAGACAGAGAAGCGATCTGTATGGCAGTGCATGACTCATCTGCAAGCTTGGTATATATATAACAGCGAACAACTGCATAACGGGCGTATATGACCGCGTTTAAACATGACTATAGCTTTTGTTATCGAGAACAAAGAGAAATCGAAACTTTATAGGCGGCATTAGTTGGTAATTAGAAATATTGCGTGTGAACTACGTAGCGTACAGATTTCTACGGGTGAAGTTTTCATGCGCATGAAATGAACGACGTGCGTCGCACATCAAACACTGACCACACAAGTTCGCTTGTCAGAGTTGATGGATTTGCAATGGCATTCGCGAAGCGGCGCCTAATCCTGAGGGAATTGATTAGGATAACGACCGCGCATACTTTTTTCATCAGTGGCGTGCCGCATATTTGTTGACGTGTAACCAGCTTCTATTTATGTCAACCGCTACTTGCAGGCATCTATGTTTTATTCAAACAGCGAGATAGGTCGTATCTAAAATGAAATTGTTCGAGCATATTTTGGATGCTGTGAGGTCTCCCACGAGGTCAGTTATCGCTATAAATATGTATAGACCAGGTTGTGATCGTCCTCTGCATTTCCTCTATATATCTCACTATGGCGTTAAACGTTTTTATTTGCTCAATACGTATACAAACAGACACACACACGCGCGCGCACATGCACGCACAAACGCACGCACGCACACACGCGCGCACAGACACACAAACACGCGCGCACATGCACACACAGGCATGCGCCCACACGCACGCGCCCCCAGACACCCAAACACGCGCACACATGCACCAGACACACACCGCGCACTTGGTGCACAGACGCGCGCGACACGCACACACACACATCAACCCAACACCCACACACCACGCACGCACGCACGCACGCACGGGCAATAAACATACGCACGCAAACGCACGCAACACACCCCACACGCAACGCACGCACGCACACACACACGCAACGCAAACACACACACAGAACACAACACACAACACAGCACCACCACATCACACATACACACACGCACACACTGCACACACGCACACACGGCACACACCAGCACACGCACCACACACATAACACACAACACACACACAACACACCACACACACACACACAACACACATACACATTACCACACATCACACACACCCACGGGAACACCACGCACACACGCAACACCCACGCACGGCAACGCAACGCACCGCAAACAATGCCGAATCCATGCTAGAGAGCTTCAATTACGTTGCGACTCTCTCCAGCTCTTTGTCTCGCCCCAATCGTCTCTAACTCTAATCGTTAACATAGCGCCAGCAGTGCCAAGCATAGTATA